CCTTCTTCTAGCTTTTCTTCTTTCTTCTCTCTCCTTTATCTTTTCTTCTTTCTCCTCTCTTCCTTCGTTTTGCTTTCAAAATCGATTCTCTTTCTTTTTCCTTTCAAAGGCATGATTTTCCCAAGCCTTTCCTCACTTTTTTTTTCTTTTATTCCTTATCTCTCATTGGACCAATTTGTCGCCTACTCAATTTTCATGCACCAATTTTCTTCTTTGTTCATTGGCCTAATGTCTATCTTCATTTTTCTCCTCCATTCGCCACCCTCACTACCTCTTCCTTTCTTTCTTCATTCTTTGCACCACCTTATTCCTCCAATCATATTTCATAGATAACCTTTACTTTATATTTTATTTGGTCATTCATTAAACTATTCAAGACATATGCATCTCACTTTTTTTATCCTCATTTGGTTACTTAATGCACCAATCATATTACATGCAATAGGATTTATTCTTATTCTTCTTTTTACTTTACATGGTGGGGGATACCACATGTTCCCCACTAACTTTATTCTTTTTTGCATGTAATAATTTAGATGTAATAGTAAATTCACATGCACATTTCATTATTCCATATATCCTCATTATCTCAATTAATTCTCCATGTCTCCAATCCTTCCAAACTCACATGTACTATTATTAATACTTATATCACTAAAAATTCACTCATTAAAATAATATTTTAGAATCAAATAAATAATATTTTATTCATCAAATCATCAAAATTATATTATAACTCCCCCACTTATGTTCAATGCTTAAATTGTGTGAGTTTGTCCATTACTCACAATAAAAATTTCTCAATATTATTTTAATAATATTTTATTAATAAAATATTATTAAATTCTAATTTGCCTTTCGGGGTTCCAAAACATTTTAATTTATTTCAGTTTAGATCCATCACTCCTTTTTACTCCATAACGATGACCTTAATAAGATATTATTATTTTATTATGTATAAAATATTTTATTTCAAAATATTCCGTTCCTCTTTCACCATTCCTAAACTCTTGAATTGACCTCAGCTGGTCTTAATCTTGTTCTTAAAGTCATATTAACCACCATTTTAGGTCATGGGGTATTACAAATTGGATGATATTTAAAACTAAGGGACAAATTTGACATAAAGGGTAAAACAATAATTTCATCTTTTGTCATTGGATAGTTATGAAAGTTCACAATATAAAGTTTGCAACAAATAATAATTAATATCAAGTATTGAATTGGTTCTTGTAATTATAGTTAATCCAAGAGTGCAAC